TGCTTGGAGGGCTTGGGCCCTCAGTGTTTCCAGCGAGGCCGCCTTCCAACACCACACCCCGGGAGGAGGCCTGGGAGGGCATGCCGGAAACCCCGCAGCCGCGGGGACGGGGGCACAGGCAGCCCCGCACCACCCACCCTCTGGGCACAGACCCTATCCCCTGCCCACAGGTGAAGCTGTCCTGCTCCCTCCCCGAAGACACTCCAACTTCTGTGGAAAAAGAGCTCCTGGGGTGGAAAATCCCTGGATGAGTTTCCTCCAAGCCTTTTCTGGGGGCGGAGGATGGACCTGCAGCCAGGAGCCAGCTGTGGGCCAGCGTCGGAGCTGGGGAGGCCCTGCCGGGCCAGCGTGGAGAGTGGAGGGCGGGCCCTGAGGCCTGCAGTCCTCCCCATGTCCACCCTGCTGCATGGGCCTCGTGGCCTCCGTGTCTAGAAAGTTTCCGCAGATGGGGCCTGGGTTTTTGGAGCCCGTGGAGAGCGGGTCCCCCACCTCTCGGGTGCCTGGGGTAGGACAGGGGGGCACCGAGGTGTCCAGCAGAGCTTGGCCCAGTGGTGGTCATGGGATGGGGATGACTGGGAGGCCTGGGGAGGAGAAAGTTTTTTTTTGAAGGGGGATGTGGGACCCTGCCCTGGGCTGGGGTTGGGAGCTCTGCATGGGTGGGATGGGACGCACTTGGTCCAAAGCACGGGTGGGGGGGCAGAAGCAGGGCTGGGGGCCAGCAGCCTTGGGATCCCTCCAGCCACCCGCTCGGCACCCACCAGAGCAGCACCGAGGCTCCACTGGCAACTTCATGGACAAAGGCGGGATAATTCCCCTTTTACCGTGCTTTGGAAGCACCAGGGCTCCCCGAGGGGCACTGGGGGGGCCCCTCCCCTGAACGCAGGGTCCCGATGGGGGTGAGGGTGGGGGTGGGGGGCAGGCAGTTTCCCGACTCCATTTCCCCCTCATGCTCCCCCTTCATCCCTTGCCTGGCCAGGTCCTGTCAGCAGAGGAGAGGCGGGTCCACCCACAGGAGTCCTGCCGCTGCCAGAGACCCTGCCACACCCTGCCGGGGAGGCTGCCTATTCAAGGCCCTCTCCTTCTCCATACTTCTTCCTCTCCCTCCTCCCACCCCCTCCCCGCTCTTTCCCCTCTCTCTACCCACCCTCTCCCTCCCCACACCTGGAGACTGACCCACTCAGGGCTGTGGACGATGGGCAGTGGGGTAAAGACCTGCTCCCCGCAGCTGCTTCTGGGATCTCAGACAAGGGACCCCACTGGGCCCAGAGTCCCCATTTGCGGAAGGGCCAGCAGGCCTGAGAAAGGGGACACCCAGGCTGCAGAAGGGGTTGTGGCTTGCCCCTTTTCCCCACCTCTGCAGTGCGTTTACCTCCCCCTACACACACAGGTGGGGCTGCAGAGCCCTGTCCAGCCAGACCCTCAGTCCAGCTCTCTGGGAGGCCCCCCAGGGCAGCGTTTTCCCAGCTCTGGGCTTTCTGGGATCCTGAAGCAGGCTGGGCTCCAGAGGGGAGTGCATGGGAGCAGAATCTCCTGCAGGGACAGCCTGGAAGGGGCTGGGGGTGGACATGTGCCAAAAACACCTGGGCAACCTCAGGAGAGAGGAGGGAAGGGGAGAGGAGGGATGAAGAGGGAGCAGGGGATAGGGACCGGGGAGAGGAGGGAGAGGGGAGAGGAGAAGGGAGCTGAGGGGGCGCCCCTGGTGTGGGCAGGGCGGGGGTGTGGAAATCCACCCATGACAACTGTCAGCTCAACCAAGACTGGGATTCAGGATGTTCTATTTTCATGCTTTCTGTGTTTTTCATATTCTCCCCAAGTCAGAGCATCACATACAACCTGGAAAGATCCCTGATGAAAGTGTGTAGAGGGATACAAACCAGGCCAGGGAGCTCACGCCTGCAGTCCCAGCACTTGGGGAGACCAAGGCGGGTGGATCATGAGGTCAGGAGTTCAAGACCATCCTGGTCAACATGGTGAAGCCCCGTCTCTACTAAAAACACAAAACTTAGCCGGGTGTGGTGTGCACCTGTAGTCCCAGCTGCTCAGGAGGCTGAGGCAGGAGGATCGCTTGAACCCAGGAGGTGGAGGTTTCAGTGAGCTGAGATCCCACCACTGCACTCCAGCCTGGTGACAAGAGCAAAATTCCATCTAAAAAATGCTCACAGCAGAAACACACAGAAGTATCAGCTCTGAATCCGGCTGGGTAGTGAAAGCAGATGTTGCTTCACGATTTTTAAAAATGCGCTGTGACGAACATGTATCTTCTTCGTAAGAGGATAAATCAAGTTTATTTTCAGCCATCATTACAGAGCTCCCGTGTGGCAGAGGCGCCTCTGGGCCCTGCCTGGGAGAAGTGTGGGGCCCAGGAGCTCAGGGTGCTGCAGCCAGGGTGTGGGTGGCATTGCCAGGCCGCCTCCACAGCTCACACGCAGCCCCCGGTGGAGTGGGCGCCCGCAGAGCCGATGGCATTCTGTGAACGGACTGAGGAAAACCAGCTCTGCATGGCTAAGCACGTCGTCGGCCGCTGGGCCCCGTGCGTCTGTCCTGTGTGACGGGGGGTCTGCAGTTCTTCCGTTTTACAGACTGGGTGTCAGCCACCTATGCTGCACACCTGTGGTGGGGCCCTCGTGCAGGGAATGCAGGGTTCTCGGGGTTCCCGGGGTTCTCCGGGTTCTCCGCGTTTGCTTACACAGTGTTCCCGTTTCTTATGCGGGGTTCTCGGGGTTCTCTGGGTTCTCGGGGTTCTCCGTGTTCTTGGGGTTCTCAGGGTTCTCCGGGTTCTCGGGGTTCTCCGGGTTCTCGGGGTTCTCCGTGTTCTTGGGGTTCTCAGGGTTCTCCGGGTTCTCGGGGTTCTCCGGGTTCTCGGGGTTCTCCGTGTTCTTGGGGTTCTCAGGGTTCTCCGGGTTCTCGGGGTTCTCCGGTTCTCCGTGTTTTTTACACAATGTTCCCGTTTCTTATGCGGGGTTCTCAGGGTTCTCCGGATTCTCCATGTTCTTCGGGTTCTCAGGGTTCTCTGGGTTCTCGGGGTTCTCCAGTTCTCTGTGTTTTTTACACAATGTTCCCGTTTCTTATGCAGGGTTCTCGGGGTTCTCCGGGTTCTCGGGGTTCTCCAGTTCTCCGTGTTTTTTACACAGTGTTTCCATTTCTTATGCGGGGTTCTCGGGGTTCTCCGGGTTCTCGGGGTTCTCCGGTTCTCCGTGTTTTTTACACAATGTTCCCGTTTCTTATGCAGGGTTCTCGGGGTTCTCCGGGTTCTCGGGGTTCTCAGGGTTCTCGGGGTTCTCCGGTTCTCCGTGTTTTTTACACAATATTCCCGTTTCTTATGCGGGGTTCTCAGGGTTCTCCGGATTCTCCATGTTCTTCGGGTTCTCAGGGTTCTCTGGGTTCTCGGGGTTCTCCAGTTCTCTGTGTTTTTTACACAATGTTCCCGTTTCTTATGCAGGGTTCTCGGGGTTCTCCGGGTTCTCAGGGTTCTTGGGGTTCTCCAGTTCTCCGTGTTTTTTACACAGTGTTCCCGTTTCTTTTCCCGAATCAGCAAACACTCCTTGCAGATAAAACAGCTCAGATGGGGGAGCAGGAGCCCAGAGGCTGGGGCAGCACCTTGAAGCAGGTGGTACCCACAGCCACAGTGTGGATGGTATCAGTGGCAGGTAAAATTGCCGGTACAGTAACTGTGCAAGGCCAGCATGGCAGCTGGCGCCTGTAATCCCAGCACTTTGGGAGGCCGAGGCAGAAGCACCACCTGAGTCCAGGAGTTTGAGACCAGTCTGGACAACATCATGAGACCACCATTTCTACAAAACACAAAAAAACAGCTGGGCATGTTGGTGCATGCCAGCTACTCGGGAGGCTGAGGTGGCGGGATCACTGGGGCCCAGAGATGGAGGCTGCAGTGAGCTGGGGTGAGGCCACAGCATTCCAGCCTGGATGACAGAGTGAGACCCTGTCTCAAAGAATAATAATGATGAGAAGAACAGGTTGTTTACAACTTCTATAAAGTGCTTGTTGGGAAAATACTGAAGGGATCCAAGAACAGTCACTGTGAATTTTAAAGGTTTTCTCAAACGTTTCTTTAATATGGTTTTTGGTACGCACAGTGTGTGTATGTTTTAAAATTATAAGGCATTTAGGCTGATCTTAGGCAAGTGTCAACAGCTCCAGCTCTGGGAAACTCTTCTGGAACCTTCTGTGGGGCAGGGATTCCTCTGGCCACATCTGGAGCCCACCCCCCTTCTTCCCTGGTGACATCAGGGACGGCCTGTGTCTCTGGCTCCCTCCCACCTTCCCTCCCTCCCTCTGTCTCCCTCCATACACACACACACACACACACACACACACACACTCGCGCACACACACACATGGCACACACGCAGCACACACATGCACACACACGCACATGCAGCACATACGCGCGGCACACACACGCACACGGCACATACACACGTACACACAGCACACACGCACGCACACACGGCACATACGCACACACACACAGCACACACACGCACAGGCAGCACACACGCACACACGGCATATATAACAACGTTATTATGCACAATTGCTTTCCCATAGTACAAATTGAAATATCTTTGGCAAATACATATTTGTGAAGGAATATTTACATGAAAAATAACTTGGAGATCCGATGAAGCAGTGGATTTCCAGCAGGCCGGGAGGTCCTGTAGAAAGCGGTGGGTGGGGAGAGGGTCAGCAGGTCTGAGTTCTAGGTTCGATTGGAAACAACCACACAATGTTTCAAGGAAACTCTTTGGTTTTCAGACTTTTAATCCGCCAGGCTGTAGTCCGGTCCTCCCTGACGCAGGAACTGGAGAACTGCAGGGACCTGCCCTCCCCCAGCCGGCGGGGTCCTTCCTGGGCTCAGAGCTGCCGCTGGAGACTGACTTTTCCTAGCGAAGACGGATCTGGAGGGAGAGACCCCAGCAGGGAGGCTGTGACTCACTGGGCCAGCCCCTCCTCGCCACGCCCTGCCCTCCCTCCCGCCCCTCCCGTCCTCCGTCCTCCGCTCTCACTCTGGCTGGGAGCAGAACTCAGCCTGGACTCCTGTCGCCGTCGGCACCCACCCTGCCCTGGTCACACCGTGTGGTGACCGCAGGCCGGAGACATGAGGGCAGCCCGCACTCTGCTGCCCCTGCTGCTGCAGGCCTGCTGGGTGGCCGCACAGGACGAGCCCGAGTCCCCAAAAGCAGTCGCCTTCCAGGGTGAGTGGGGGCTGGGGCTGGGGCTCCCGACTCCTGGCTCTTTGCTGCCCGCCCGGGCCAGATGCACAGGGTCCCTTCTGACCATGGAACTGCAGACTGGGGCCCTCGAGCCCCAGAGCCCCTCTCCCGGCTTAGCGCAGCTGCTGCCCCACGAAGCCTCAGTCGGGGCCCCTAGGGGGTCCACATTCTTGGGGGGGATGGACGGCAGGCAGCCCGGCAGGGGCTCCCTTCGAGGAGGAGCTGGTTCGAGCTGAGTCAGCTCCCCCACTGGGAACACCGTCCAGCTGTGAGTCCGTCTGACCCCTCACCGGGCCCTGAATCCTCACCCAGCGGTGACTCCAGGCCACAGCCCCTGTTCTAGAGTAAGTCATGCCTCTGCGACTTCTAAATCCAGCCAGAGGCCTCACGTGAGGTCTCATTTGTCCAGTCCCTGCAGGGACACCCTGCCCTTCGGGGCGCAGGAGCCATCCGGGGTCTCTCACTCCACGCTGTCCCCACCGAGGGAGACTCCTGCTGCCTTTTCCAGGGGAGCCTCTCCAGGCCTGGGGCTCTGCGCTGAGGGTGGGCCGGGAGAGCAGGCCCCGCAGAGGCTCCCGGAACGGGCAGAGAGTGCAGAGGCCCCTCTCCTCTGTCTCTGGCCAGACTGCCCCGTGGACCTGTTCTTTGTGCTGGACACGTCTGAGAGCGTGGCCCTGAGGCTGAAGCCCTACGGGGCCCTGGTGGACAAGGTCAAGTCCTTCACCAAGCGCTTCATCGACAACCTGAGGGACAGGTAGGGGCTGCGCCTCGAGCTTCCTCTTGTGCTTCTGGGCCCTTGGAGGGGGGGCCAGGGGACCACGGGTGGCGTCGGCCTCAACCTCCCCTCTAAGAAGGGCGAGTGCTGCCGTGGCCAGAGCCCCTCTCGGCGCCTCCAGAGTGAGCTGGTTTGAGATGGGCCTGCTTGAGGGGGAGTGGCACCTGGCCAGGGGGCCCAAGGTGACAGAGACTGGGCTTCCGGAACAGAGGGCCTACAGGCCAACCGGGAGGGCTCAGGGTGCGCAGTCCTGCCTGGCACCGGGAGCCTCGTACTCACCACCTGAACCCTGGTCATTCTGTGGACAGCGGGAGCCTCTGCGGGCCCTGAACCCTGTGTTCTGAAGGTCCCGGACTCGGGCCAGGAGGGTGTCACTCTGAACCCTGGGGGCCCCAGGCTTGGTTCTGCGCTTGGGACATGGCACACTCTGCCCCTCGTTCCTACATCCACACCTGTGGCCAAGGACAGGTGGGGGAGGCAGAGAGGGGGGTCCCTACTGTGGGGGCACAGGGTGGTGGGGGTGGGGCATGGAGAACGGGCCTCCCCCACGTGACAGCTCAGCCAGCGAAAGACCCCCAGTCTTCCCCGACCCTGCTGACTGGCCCTGGCACGAGTCCCCCGCCCACCAGAAGGGGCCCAGTCAGAGGCCACCGGTAACACCAGGGTGGACCCTCAGCCCCCTCTGTGCCCAGGAGGAGCCACTGGGACCGGAAACCCTGAGTGTAGTGGAAATGTCCATCCCTGGGAGGTGGGGGCAGCTGTGGTGGCACTGTGGGGGGGCAGTCACGTGGCCCAGCATCCCCCAATGTGCCCTCGCTGCCTTTGCTTAGGCGCCCCATGCCTCAGTTTCCCACCTGTGGAGTGGGGGTTAGTCATGCCCATGTTGCTGCCACTGCCATTCCTGCAGGAGCCTCAGTCACTCTGTCTGACTCTGTCTGCTGCATGGGTGTGTGGGTGGGTGGGGTGGAGGCAGCCCGCTCTTCTGGGCCTCTTGGGGGGACCCAGGGTACCCTGGTGGTGTCGGCTTCAACCTCCCCTCTAAGGAGGAAAAGGACTGCCCTGGCCAGAGCCCCTCCAGGTGCCTCCAGAGTGAGCGGGTTTGAGATGGGCCTGCTGGCAGTGGGGCCGAGGTGACCGAGGCTGAAATGCGGGAACAGAGGCTCCCACGGGGACAGAGGACAGAGAGGGGGCAGAAGGGGCTGCTCAGACCCACCCGGGCGCCCCCTCCCCCACTGCCATGCTGCCCACTGCAGGCCCCAGGACCCTGTCCCAGCGGGGCCACACGCTCAGGGCTCCTGGTCTGAGGGCCCGAGGGATTGGGGCACAGGCCACTTGCTGGCCACATCCACCTGCCCAGCCTCCCGGGAGGGCCAGCCTCAGGCCCACAGGGCAAGTCCAGCAGTGGGTCAGCCACGGCCAGGATGGGCGGCCTGTCCATCCAGGTGACAGCGTGCCCTGGGACAGGTGATGGTGGCATGAGGGGCCTCCCGTCTCACACCCGCTGCGCCTGCTCCTGGCAGGTACTACCGCTGTGACCGGAACCTGGTGTGGAACGCGGGCGCGCTGCACTACAGCGACGAGGTGGAGATCATCCAGGGCCTCACGCGCATGCCCGGCGGCCGCGACTCCCTCAAGAGCAGTGTGGACGCCGTCAAGTACTTCGGGAAGGGCACCTACACCGACTGCGCCATCAAGAAGGGGCTGGAGCAGCTCCTCGTGGGGTGAGTGGCCCCAGCTCCTGCCGACGCCGCTCTCACACGGGGACCCAGCCTGGGCTGGGGATTCAGCTGCAGCCTCTGTGTCCTCTGGGAGGCTGCACGGCCTCCCTGACCCACTTTGTGGGCAGGAAAGAGACAGAGACAGACACAGACAGAGAGAGACAGACAGAGAGACAGAAACAGAGACAGAGGCAGAGTGACAGAGAAGCAGACACAGAGAGGGACAGAGACAGAGAGACAGAAACAGAGAGACACAGAGATAAACAGAGGGACAGAGTCAGGCAGGCAGAGACAGACAGAGATGAAGAGACACAGAGACAGAGAAACAGAGAGAAAGAGATAGCAAAAGAGAGACAAAGAGGCAGAGAGACAGAGAGAAGCAGAGACAGAGACAGAGAAAGAAACAGGCAGAGAGATAGAGAGACCAGAGATAGAGACAGAGGGACGGGGAGATGGAGACACGGGCTACGGTGGCCTTCCCCGCAGCATCAGTACCAGGAGGGTTAGGAGCACTGAGACCAGGTCCCATTACCTGGAAACACGGGCTGAATTTCTTCTGCTCTCTCGGGGTTTTTCTGGACGGAGGGGTTTCCTCCATCTCAGCGTCGTCCAGCTGTGGGGATGGCGGGGCCGCAGCCCCAGAGTCTCTGGAGGCGAACGTGGCCTCCCCACACCCAGCCCCTCCCGAGGCCGCAGGATCGCATTGGGGGGCTCCAAGGCTTCCCCGTCCAGCGAGGATGGTCTTGGATGGTATCCCCAAGGTTGGTCTCAGAGGCCACACTGCCGGCGTGGGCCAGGCACCCCCTTTCCAAGGGCTGTGCCCACCTCCCTCCAAGCTGGTGTCAAGCTTGGAGTCACCAGGGGAGCCAGGTCTCGTGCCATCTGCAGGGGGTGTGTGCGGCCCCAAGTGGAAGCCACAGACAGACACGACTCAGCTTAAATGAGCTCGCCCTCCGGGCCCAGATGCAGTGTCCCCAGAGCCCGTCCTACTGCCCTGATGCTGCCTCGCTCCTTCCACGCCCACTTCCCTCTCTGGGGCTGTATTTGGGGCCCTCTGGGGTTGCTCCTGCTCATCACACCCATTTCCTGCAGAAGCCCCGAATGGCCGAGCTGCCTTGAGTTTAGGCAGCTTGTGGGTAGAACGAGGCAGGCGTCTCAGGGAGGGGCACACTCCCTGCCCCCTCAGCAACTGGTCGGTGGTTTTGCGCCCAGGGCACCCCAGGCACCGAGCCTCCTTTGGGGTCATGTGCACCTGTCCCAGGATGGTGTGAATTTTCCAAAGCAGTTTTGAGAAGTGAGACCCACAGAGCATCATTTCCCAGTGATGTTCTTTTCAGTGAGGCCACCTATAGCCGCGTCGGCAGAGAAACAGCTCCTCCGATGAGACAGGGCCCAGCACCCCCAGAGGGGCTTGGGTCTCCCTCCTGCTCCCTTGCCCATCACCTGGTTCTGAGTCTCATAGTGCCCTGTCCCTTCCAGGGGCTCCCACCTGAAGGAGAACAAGTACCTGATTGTGGTGACCGACGGGCACCCACTGGAGGGCTACAAGGAACCATGCGGGGGGCTGGAGGATGCTGTGAATGAGGCCAAGCACCTGGGCATCAAAGTGTTCTCGGTGGCCATCACTCCCGACCACCTGGTAAGCCCCGCCTGCCCCACAGATGCCCCCAAGCTCACAGAGTGATGGCTGCAAGCCACCCACTCCAGGCGGCCGGGACTGTCTTTTTGTCCCTGGGAGGGTGTGGGCCCTGCAGTGGGCCACCCTTGCTCCTGAGAAGCCAGCCCCTCCTGCCGAGGAGCCGGAGCACCCTGGCCCAGGCTCCCCTCTGGCCCTGTGGGCGGGGTCCCGGTCGTCAGGGGTCCAGCCCTGCTCAGCCCACTCTGCACATTGCCCACAGGAGCCGCGCCTCAGCATCATCGCCACGGACCACACGTACCGGCGAAACTTCACAGCGGCTGACTGGGGCCAGAGCCGTGATGCAGAGGAGGCCATTAGCCAGACCATCGACACCATCGTGGACATGATCGTGAGGCCCCCGCCCGGGAGCCAGGGAGGCCCTCAGTGGCCCCAGGTGGAAAGTAATTCTACGTTTCCCTTTCTCTTTACAGAAAAATAATGTGGAGCAAGTGGTAAGAGCCCTCCTGGCCAACCCCAGCCATGAGTCTTCCCACATGTCCACACACACGTCCACCCGTGTGTCCAGGACGTGTGTCCCCTGTGTGTCCACCCATGTTTCCCAGTCACATGTCCACCCGTGTGCTGGGGATGCATGTCCCCCTGATGTCCACCCACACATCCACCCATGTTTTCTGGTCACTTGTCTGCCTGTGTGTCCACCCGTGTGCTGGGACATGTGTCCCCTTGGGTGTCCGTCCCTGTGCCTGGGTCACTTGTTCCCTTGTGTCTGCCCGTGTGTCCCCCAGTGGACTGGGATGTGTGTCCCCCTGCGTGTCCCAGCCACGTGTCCGTGGCTTACCCACTGACCTGTCTCTACCCTTCCCTCCACAGTGTTGCTCCTTCGAGTGCCAGGTGAGTGTGGCCACCCTGACCCCATGCCCTGCACCCTGGGAAGCTGAGTCTGGGGTCCAGGCTGATTGTCCCCTCTGCCTTGCAGCCTGCAAGAGGACCTCCGGGGCCCCGGGGTGACCCCGGCTTCGAGGTGAGTGGTCGCTCCTCCACCTCCTGTGTGGGGGTGTCCCTGCAGCTCGGGGCCTGGGAGTGGCAGGACCGAAGCCTCCTGGACCCCCCGAGTCCAGCGGGAGGGTCCAGGTGGCAGATCCTGGCCTGTGCAGGGGGCGCTGGGGGCTTTTGGGGGCTTATGAGGGCATCTCTGCCCACCCTGCCCTCAGCCGCTCTCTGCTCAGGAGGACCTTTCTGGGGTTCAGAGGGTGAGAACGTGGGGTTCCCGGTTATATGGGGCTCACACAGGACGACCTTGAACATTAGAATTTGCTGCCGATATTTACAACTTGCCCTGAGGCGGCTCAGGGACCTCAGATTTCTGGCTTCTCCTAAAAACCATCAGACCCAGCAACTGTGGGCCCCTGAGTCCCATGGCCACGTCCAGGATCGAGCAGTGAACCTTCTGTGCCTGGGGGTCCACAAAGCCGCGCAGACAGGAACGGAGGCGGGGCTGGCATGCGGGGTGGCACTCCCAGACCCAGGGTGACCAGGAGTGGCGGGGAAGCCGCCTGGAAGCCCTAGGATCCCCTAAGGCTGGATGAAGTGTCTTTTTAAAAACCTGTTTCATGAGCCAGCTTCTTAGAAAGAAACGGGACTGCTCTGAACCTTGACCTGTTTTGTGTTCCAGGGAGAACGAGGCAAGCCAGGGCTCCCAGGAGAGAAGGGAGAAGCTGGAGATCCTGTGAGTGCCTGACTGTGGGTGCGGGTGCTAAGAAGCTGGAGGTGGGGGAAGGACTGAGCCTCAGAAGCTTCCGGAAGAGTGGCATGCTTCTGAATGCCCATTTCTCATGGGTGGGAGAGAGCCTGGGGGTGCCCAGCCCAGCCATCCTTCCACACAGCACCAGGGAGGGGCCGGGTGGGAGGGGCCGAGGTGGTCAGGGCGGCACTGTTTCCAGCCTCAGATCCCATCCACAGACTTCCCCTCGCCCCCAGCTCCGCCTCGGAGCCCCCCTACACCACGGGGCCATGCCTCAGGGCTGCTCCATCTCAGGCTGACAAGGCCTGGGCTGGAGGGAGGGGTGTGGGGCTGGGCGGGACGCCTCCCCCTCCAGGGAGTCTCACCATCTCCTGTGTTCCAGGGAAGACCCGGAGACCTCGGACCTGTTGGATACCAGGGGATGAAGGTACGTACCCCGCTTTCCTGGCCCAGGCCCGGTGGCGCCCTCAGCCCTGAGCAGCACTAATGATGCCTTCCTCTTCCTCTTCTGCTGGGTGTGTAGGGAGAAAAAGGGAGCCGCGGGGAGAAGGTGAGACTGAGCCTCGGGTTTGGGCGCAGACAGTAACCTCGACGGGAGACCACGTGCCGCAGACCCGCTCCACCCCACCACCGTCCCCTCTGTCTGGAAGGATGGACAAGGACCACCATCCGGGCGCCCAGCAAGGGCACCTATCACCTCCACCCACCCCAGAGGAGGGGTCCCACGGGCATTACCCTCTCCAGAGGGGGGTCCTATGGGCTTTACCCTCTCCAGAGCGGGGGTCCTACAGGGGTTACCTTCTCCAGAGCTGGGGTCCCATGGGCAGTTATCCTCTCCAGAGTGGCCCCCGACCTGAGTGATGGTGCGTCCTCAGGCTGGGGGCCCCTGTAGTCCAGGGCAGCTCCTGCCTCGAGTGGGCCTAAGCAACTCTGTCCTCCTTGCCCCAAACACTCCCTCACACCCACTTCCTGTCTCCGCAGGGCTCCAGGGGACCAAAGGGCTACAAGGTGAGTGTGGGTTTCTGGGACAGGAAGTTCTGCCTCCACGCCGGCACATCTGACCGGCATCTGACCTGCCATCATTTTCCTGCCTTACAGGGAGAGAAGGGCAAGCGTGGCATCGACGGGGTGGATGGCGTGAAGGTGACGCGGGAGGGTGGGGAAGGACGGGGTGAGGGTGACCTGGGGAGGGTGAAGAGGGACAGGGTGATGGTGACCTGGGGAGGGCGGGGAGGGACCGGGTAAGGGTGACCTGGGGAAGGTGGGGAGGGATGGGGTGGGGGTGACCTGGGGAGGGTGGGGAGGGACGGGGTGGGGTGACCTGGAGAAGGGTGCAGAGTGACGGGGTGAGGGGGTGAGGGTGACCTGGGGAGGGCGGGGAGGGATGGGGTGGGGGTGACCTGGGGAGGGGCGGGGACGGATGGGGTGGGGGTGACCTGGGGAGGGTGGGGGGGGATGGGGTGGGGGTGACCTGGAGAAGGGTGGGGAGGGATAGGGTGAGGGTGACCTGGGGAGGGGTGGGGACAGATGGGGTGGGGGTGACCTTGCGGGAGGGCCAGGGGGAATTGGTGTGGACACGTGAAGGTGACACCAGCAGGAGCGTCTGCCAGGTGGGGCTTTCCAGGGAGGGCGTGGAGGAGCCACAGCCGCAAAGGCCGACGGGACCTACCTGCTCACCCACTTGGCCATCAGACTTTGTGGTTTTCTTCCTCTCTCCAGGGGGAGACGGGGTACCCAGGCCTGCCAGGCTGCAAGGGCTCGCCCGGGTTTGACGTAAGTCGCTTACTTCCTCTCGCTGGAGTTCTGAGGCTGGTGCTCTAGGCCGCCCGCGTGCAGACTCACTTTCGACTTCTATCTGGGCTGCTGCCAAGGGCTGCCATGGCGGCCTCATGCTGCCCTCTTCTCTCCAGGGCATTCAAGGACCCCCCGGCCCCAAGGGAGACCCCGGTGCCTTTGGGCTGAAAGGAGAAAAGGTGAGTGACTCTTGGCCCCCGAAAGGCGTGGCCTTCACTGTGGCCAAGCGCTGAGTTGGAGACCGCTCCTGGAAGCAAGCCCTGGTCTGAGCAGCTCGGCCGCCCATGCAGCCTCGGAAGGGAGGAGCTGGCAGAGGCTGGAGGCAGGCAGGGGACCGGCGAGGACAGTGCCCAGTGTGGGGACAGTGGCAGGGAAAGGGGACAGCGTGGGGACAGCGGCGGGGACGGTGCCCAGCATGGGGACAGGGGACAGCGTGGGAACAGCGGCAGGGAAAGGAGACAGTGTGGGGACAGCGGTGGGGACGGTGCCCAGTGTGGGGACAGCAGCGGGGACAGTGCCCAGTGTGGGGACAGCGGCGGGGACGGTGCCCAGTGTGAGGACAGCGGCAGGGACGGTGCCCAGTGTGAGGACAGCGGCAGGGACGGTGCCCAGTGTGGGGACAGCGGCGGGGACGGTGCCCAGTGTGGGACAGCGGCGGGGACAGGGGACAGCATGGCGACAGCAGCGGGGACAGGGGACAGCATGGCGACAGCGGCGGGGACGGTGCCCAGTGTGGGACAGCGGCGGGGAGAGGGACAGCACGGCGACAGCGGCGGGGACGGTGCCCAGTGTGGGACAGCGGCGGGGACGGTGCCCAGTGTGGGACAGCGGCGGGGACAGGGGACAGCATGGCGACAGCGGCGGGGACAGTGCCCAGTGTGGGACGGCGGCCATGGTGCTCCTGCCAGGGGCCTGCCCTGCAGCCCAGGGTTCTTCAGGCCTCCGCCATTGGTCCCCACACCTGCTGCTGGCTCTGCGCAGATGGGACCCCACCGCGTCCCCTGCAGCCTGCAGGTCGCAGCCCAGAACGGCCCGGTTCGTGCGGAAATCAGAACTGGGAATGGGCCGAGAGTGGCTGCAAGAAGGCGAGAGCGTGAGGCGGGAGAAGGAACTTTCTAGTCTGACTTAGAGCTGAGTCCGTGGTTGCTGGTGTTTTCTCCAGAGTTTCTTTGATGAAACCAGAGGTGCTGGGGAAGACGAGGGTGAATGCTGACCGCACCCCAAACCTGCTCCCACAAGGAGCTCCTGCTCCCAGCAGGCAGTTTCCGAATCTCATCTTTACATTCCCAGATGACCCTCCAGGCTTAGATTTGAGTTTGCCAATTCCCCGGCCTGAAAAGCTGTGGCTTCTCTAGCGGGAGCCAAGCCCTGCCCCTTAGACAAGCTGGCCCTCAGCTGGCCTCATAGGGAACAAGGCTGGAACTTTCCAGGAGTTTTAGTGCAGGGCTGTGGTGGCTCGGGGTGCCGGCGGGTCCAGGGCAGGGAAGCTGTTGGTCAGCAAGAGCGGCCTGAAGTCTGGGTGAGGGCCCTGGATGTAACCACTGGAACAAGCGTGTGACCCCCCATCTTCTTCAGGGCGAGCCTGGAGCCAACGGGGAGGCAGGGAGACCTGGGAGCTCAGGGCCACCTGGAGACCTGGTGAGGATGTGCACAGCCCCCGCCGACACCGGGCACGGGCCAGGGAGGGTGTGGGAGATGGAGCCACCTTTCTACCCTTGTCCCCCACAGGGTGAGCCAGGAGAGCCTGGTCCCCCAGGAGAGAAAGGAGAGGCGGGCGACGAGGTGAGTTCCCCAGGGTCTCTCCACAGCCCCGAAACCAAACGCAGGGGTGCACCAGACTGACTAACACCGGCTTTTCTTCCTCTTCCTCCCAGGGGAACCCAGGACCTGACGGTGCCCCCGGGGAGCGGGTGAGTGGGGCAGGGCGGCCTGTGCGGTTGGCCTCACCATGTCGCTGTGGGCATGGCCTCCACGGCCCAGTCGGTCCTCCCAGCCATGAGATCCACAGCGCTCCCGTCCAAGCCAAGTGGGTTTTCACCTCCGCTCTCCGGCTGGTTTTCATTCTGTGGAGAGCACGGCTTGCTCGGTCCTTCCCACGGTCTCGGAGTGGGTGGGACCTGGGGACCAGGAGACTCCGGCCTCTGGAACCAAAGGGCATGAGGTGGAGGGACGGCCCATCCCAGGGGTCCTGCTGAGGGAGTCACCTGGGCCAGGCCTCCAGCCCCACCCCAGCCGGGCGTGAGTTCCAGTAGCTGAGTCTTCTCCCCTCCGTGTCTCTCCACTCAGGGCGGCCCTGGAGAGAGAGGACCACGGGGGACCCCAGGCACGCGGGGACCAAGAGGAGACGCTGTGAGTCATAGTTCTTGGACCCGGGACCCCACGGGTCGGCAGATGCTGTGGCCAGGTCAGGCCTTCAGAGCCACAGGATGTGCCACAAAGTCCCCGTGGCACCCAGACTCGACCTACCCCTTCCCACACCATCCGGAGGGCAGCCCCTGAAGCCTGATGCTGGGACCTGTTTGGCGTGAAGGTGCTGCCCTCCAGGTCCGGTGCCCACCTTCCCACCAGGCCGAGTCCACCTTTCTGCATCCAAGCTTTGGTTCTTCTTTGGAATAATTTTTCTTTGTTAAAATTGCCAGAGTGAGGAAGTTGGGTCAGAACCCCAGATGGGAAGCTAGGCCAGCAGGGCATCTGCTTGGGAAGTATTGACAGAGACGCCCTGCCCCAGAGCCGAGATGCTGGCAGCCTCAGGGCCACCTCCCACCTTCAGTTCCACGGGCCGTGGGCCTCGACAGGCCACCCCACAGCCCAGCCTAGGGGTGCAGAAGCACCTGGCCTTTCTCCTTCCTGTTACGTGACCTGGGGCGTGGCAGCTGGCAGACTTGGTGTGTCTCAGTCCCACCTGGCTCAGGGACAGTGAGGGCCTGGCAGGCAGAGTGAGGAGGAGAGAATGCCCCATATGCCTGGCTGGGCCACCAGGCCTCAAAGGCTGCGCCCCTGGGTACCTCCTTGTCCGAGACTCAGGACACGCAGCTCCCGTGCACTCTGACAGTTGGCCAGGGCTCCAGCAAGGCTGGGGAGCTGAGCCACGGCCAGGGCAGCCACACAGGGATAGGGATTTGGGAGGCGGGGGCTTTCTGAACCCCTTCTTGGGAGCTCCCAGAAGCACAAAGCCCCCATGGGGGTTTGGGGGCACATCAAAGCAGGGGTCATGTGACTTAATGACTCAGACCACCTCCCAAACCCACCCCTCTGAGATCAGGAAATGAGACAGAGGGCCAGGCAGAGCCCAGAGGAAGGGCTGGCGACACAGCTCTGGCTTCCCTGAGGGCCACGAATCCGTGGCTACAGAGACTTGCCAGGTCAGCAGAGCTCACTGGAGAAGCTGGGGTGCAGGCAGGGAGGCCTCTGGGGCCCAGGAGGAGCGGCGGCCTCCTGAATGAAGACAGCCAGCCACGCCAGCAGCCACGCAGACAACCACACGTGTGTCCGGGCAGCTGTCCTCCCCAAGGATGGCCCAGCCCCACACTCACGGCTTGTTTGTCCCCAGGGGGAAGCTGGCCCGCAAGGCGACCAGGGACGAGAAGGGCCCACTGGCATCCCCGGAGACCCGGTAGGAAGCCCTATGGGGTTGGAGGGCGTGGGCCCATTTGGGTCTTGGAGGTAGATGTGTTTCAGCAGCTCACGCACTGGGAACTATTCATTTACATTTGAGGGCGTCTGCCTTCCTGTAGACCTCAGGGGTGTCCCTGCGTGGGAGCCGGCTGCAGTGGGGTGAGGCGCAAGCCTGGGCCGGGCTGGGTGTAGATTGGTGAGGGCAGTCCCAGCCCCCAGGGGCATGACCCTCAGATGCTCAGCCCCAGGTGGAGGAGCACCGCCTGGGGACTCCGTCTGGGGCAAGGGCGCCTCACAGTGGGGAAGAGGTGCTTGATCCCCTGGGAGACACTGTGGGGGCTTGGTCAACATTTGTTTCTGGGTCAGGAGCCAGGCATGACTGTGGCTGGAGGGAGACTGAGGAGTGTGAGCCTATGGAAGTTTCCAGAATTCCAGGGTGCAGGGATGAAAATTCACTTTCATTCAGAATTCTGGGGTGCAGGGATGAAAATGCACTTTCATTCAGAATTCTGGGGTGCAGGGATAAAATGCACTTTCATTCAGAATTCTAGGGTGTAGGGATGAAAATGCACTCTCATCTCATTCAGAATTCTGGGGTGCAGGGATGAAAATGCACTTTTATTCAGAATTCTGGGGTGCAGGGATGAAAATGCACTTTCATTCAGAATTCTGGGGTGCAGGGATAAAATGCACTTTCATTCACAATTCTAGGGTGCAGGGATGAAAATGCACTTTCATTCAGAATTCTGGGGTGCAGGGATAAAATGCACTTTCATTCACAATTCTAGGGTGCAGGGATGAAAATGCACTTTCATTCAGAATTCTGGGGTGCAGGGATAAAATGCACTTTCATTCACAATTCTAGGGTGCAGGGATGAAAATGCACTTTTATTCAGAATTCTGGGGTGCAGGGATGAAAATGCACTTTCATTCAGAATTCTGGGGTACAGGGATGAAAATGCACTTTCATTCAGAATTCAGGGGTGCAGGGATAAAATGCACTTTCAGAATTCTGGGGTGCAGGGATGAAAATGCACTTTCATTTAGAATTCCGGGGTGCAGGGATGAAAATGCACTTTCATTCAGAATTCCGGGGTGCAGGGATGAAAATGCACTTTCATTCAGAATTCTGGGGTACTGGGATGAAAATGCACTTTCATTCAGAATTCCGGGGTGCAGGGATGAAAATGCACTTTCAGAATTCTGGGGTACAGGGATGAAAATGCACTTTTATTCAGAATTCTGGGGTGCAGGGATGAAAATGCACTTTTATTCAGAATTCTGGGGTGCAGGGATGAAAATGCACTTTCATTCAGAATTCTGGGGTGCAGGGATGAAAATGAAGTTTCATTCAGAATTCTGGGGTGCAGGGATGAAAATGCACTTTCATTCAGAATTCTGGGGTGCAGGGATGAAAATGCACTTTCATTCAGAATTCCGGGGTGCAGGGATGAAAATGCACTTTCATTCAGAATTCCGGGGTGCAGGGATGAAAATGCACTTTTATTCAGAATTCTGGGGTGCAGGGATGAAAATGCACTTTCATTCAGAATTCTGGGGTGCAGGGATGAAAATGAACTTTCATTCAGAATTCCGGGGTGCAGGGATGAAAATGCACTTTCATTCAGAATTCTGGGGTGCAGGGATGAAAATGCACTTTCATTCAGAATTCTGGGGTGCAGGGATGAAAATGCACTTTCATTCAGAATTCCGGGGTGCAGGGATGAAAATGCACTGTCGTCTCATTCAGAATTCCGGGGTGCAGGGATGAAAATGCACTCTCATCTCATTCAGAATTCCGGGGTGCAGGGATGAAAATGCACTTTCATTCAGAATTCCGGGGTGCAGGGATGAAAATGCACTGTCGTCTCATTCAGAATTCCGGGGTGCGGGGATGAAAATGCACTTTCACTTCGTGCTAAATTCCCTTCTCCGAGACTGTGGAATCGCTGAGCACAGCTCGAGGCCTTCTGTCTCTTCCCCCTGAAAATGCACTTTCACTTCATGCTAAATTCCCTTCTCCGAGACTGTGGAATCGCTGTGCACAGCTCGAGGCCTTCTGTCTCTTCCCCCTTCTGGAGACTGCCTCGATGGTGCCGCACTGTGGTGCTGCCCACAGGCTGGGCTGGGCCCTTTCTGCCTCGTCTGGGGGCTTGCTGTCCCTCATGGATAGGAAGTCCTCCACATGGTCACACCCGGTGACAGCAAGTCTGTGCTCTCCAAGCTTGTCTGCTTCTGTGGATGAATTGACCTTACGGCCCCACGTGGGCAGCTGCCCATCCACCGAGCACAAGGCCAGACCCTGGGCATGGCGGCTGTCTGAGCCGCTAGTCACTTGAGCAAGACAGGGCCTAAGACCCAGGGAGGTGGGAGAGGCCGTCCCAGTGCAAGTCACGCTTGTGTTTCTGTGTGCGAGGTGAAACCGTGCTTTTGTGATGCCTGTAGGTGTTACTCAGCTGTTGAAAACTGCTGAGTCACGGATTAGCATCCGGCAGGGCTTGGCAGGCGGGGTCTGGGCCGTTCGTCTGCCTGGTCCTGCGTGCCCCTCGTGGCAGGGGCAGAAAGGGCTCCTGACACCTTCCTGGGGAAGTGCGCAGCCTCCGCCCCGGATCCTCTCTGCCCTTCGAGCTGCAGCCAGTGTCCAGCCCGAGGCTGACCTGTTGTGTGGTCACCCCAACGGGGCCGAGTGCAGGCCACCGTGAGTGGACGTGGCCAAGTAGCCGTGGCAGGCTGTGGAGAGAGGGTGGCCTGGGGCTGGGTTTCAGGCTCGGAGGCTGCTCAGGACCTTGGCAGCAGGAAGCCCAGAGCCAAAAGTCTCAGTGGGAGTGATCGTTCAGAGGCCAGGACCTGCCTGGAGAATTCTGGCCACACCCTTCCTGGTTTATAGTCACTGTAAGATAAAACAAAGCAGCCCTCAAGAGCTGCGGTAGGAGAGGATGTCCTGTAAGCAGGCTGGCCACGGGGCCTCCAGAGCCTCCAGTGCCGTGGGGGGAGGTGCACAGGCACTGGCTGGTCCGGTGCCAGGGATCTGGGGAGCAGTTCCCCCCAACGCCTGAGGCCAGGGCACCCTCTAACCCGTTGCTCACAGTTGCCTGGCCAAGGCAGGCACTTGTTCACCTGGAGCCTCCCTGGGGCCTTTCAGGGCTTGGGGGTGTAGACAGGTGGCTTTGGAGCTCCCGGCTGGCCTCCCGGACTCTCCCTGCTCAGCCCTTGCCAGCCTTACCCCTCCTCTCCACACAGCCCAGCTCGGGGTTGTGTCCCCCATCGCCCTGTGGATGCCAGAAGGGGCTGGGCCCTCAGTGCGGTCCTGGGAGCTGCCCCCGTGAGCCGCCTCTGCTGCCGCTCTCTCCTGGTGTCTGTGCTGTGGTCTGACTGTGCTGTGTTTCAGGGCACATTGGTGAGGTCCAGGCCTCCTGCCTCCCACTCACCTGGCCCAGGATACTCCCCTTTCCATCCTCCCTCCTGCCCCCCTGCTCATGTTCCCAAGGCAGGGTCTCAGGGTACCAGACTAAGCCCTGTGAACCCCAAGTTTGGTGAGTTCTGGGCTTCTTTGAGGCCCCTGTGCAAAGTCCCCAGTTAAATGTCCAATCCTGATGCTGCCAGGCATGGGCACGCGGGGTGCAGGGGCCTCACAGCCAGGGCTGGGTGCACGTGGGGTGCGGGGGCCTCAGGGCCAGGGCTGGGTGCACGCGGGGTGCGGGGGCCTCAGGGCCAGGGCTGGGTGCACGCGGGGTGCGGGGGCCTCACGGCCAGGGCTGGGTGCACGCGGGGTGCGGGGGCCTCAGGGCCAGGGCTGGGTGCACGCGGGGTGCGGGGGCCTCACGGCCAGGGCTGGGTGCACGCGGGGTGCGGGGGCCTCACGGCCAGGGCTGGGTGCACGCGGGGTGCGGGGGCCTCAGGGCCAGGGCTGGGTGCACGCGGGGTGCGGGGGCCTCAGGGCCAGGGCTGGGTGCACGCGGGGTGCGGGGGCCTCACGGCCAGGGCTGGGTGCACGCGGGGTGCGGGGGCCTCACGGCCAGGGCTGGGTGCACACGGGGTGCGGGGGCCTCACGGCCAGGGCTGGGTGCACGCGGGGTGCGGGGGCCTCACGGCCAGGGCTGGGCGCTTGCATAGCTGAGGTAAAGAGCGGTACACCAGATGCCACCTATATAATACACTAGATGTCTGCCTGGTGGACTCACGGGTCAGGCTGGAGAATGGGCCGCGTCAGGTAGTGGGAAGCTGTAAACGTTTGAGACAGAACCACCGGGAAAGGCCCCACTGGGAAGCATCAGCCCAACCACAGGCCCAGGGACAGGCGTTCGACCAGCTCATGGCTGGGTCCCGCAGGGCCGGAGGCCAGTGGCCGTGTGCACACCACTCCCTTCTCACGCCCACGCTGGGAAGTGCTTGGGGCCCCTGGGCTCAACTCTGAAGGGCAGGGACTCTGCTGGAGTTGTCCACGGAGCAGGCCCTCGAGGGTGGGGTCTGGGGCCAGCTCTGGAAATGGACCTCACAGGGGGTCCTCACGGGATGTGGGGACTCAGGGAAGCCCAGCAGGCAGCCTCAATTGCAGGTGGGGGCAGGGCGAGTGGTGTCCAGGCTCAGCCCACAGAGAGTCCTGTTGGGGGAAGGGCCTCGGGGACCAGGCCAAGTCCAGAGAGGACTGTGAGGGAGGGCAGTCTGGGGCCACTCTGGTGGGACGGGGGGGCAGGTGGTCTACAGCCTGGGAATCAGGAGCCTCACCCCACCAGCCAGCCAGGTGCCCACGGAAGTCACCTGGGAGAAGCTTCAACACTTGTGCCCAGGCCCTTTGTCAAACCCAAGGGTGGGCCTGTCTCCCCGTGTGCTGACGGGACCAGGGCCTGAGCCTGGGGACCCTGATGGCTCATGGCCTGAGGCCCTCAACTCAGGGTCAGGGGCGGCCCAGGCCTGGGGGCTGTGTGAGGCCTGTGTCCCACGTGCCACATCTGTCTCTCTACAGGGTGAGGCCGGCCCCATCGGACCTAAAGGCTACCGAGGAGATGAGGGCCCCCCAGGGTCCGAGGTGAGACCCACTCCCCACCCACCCATGCCCACCAGGGAGGCCTGAGGGTCCCAGAAGCCACTCTGCCTGGTGCTGGCCCTGCGCCCTCTGGGGACTCCATGGCGCTGGGTGTCCTGGCTCCCGTTGGGTCCTCTCCCGGCCCCAGGAGGGCCCTGCTTCCCTCCAGGGTCACCACGTCTCAGCCTGCTCCCCTCATACCTCCCTCTTCCTCCTCAGGGCGCCAGAGGAGCTCCAGGACCTGCTGGGGCCCCTGGAGACCCCGGGCTGATGGGCGAGAGGGTGAGTGTCCAACAGCTCGGGCCCTGGAGAGCCCCAGCCCCTCACCATGAAGTTGCCTGGGGTCCCCTGACTGGGCTGGGAGCGCCCCAGCATCACTGGCTCCTGGCCACAGTCGGCAGCGGAGCCAGAGGCAGCTTCGAAGGGCCCCTCCTGCCTGGAGGTCCAGGTCCCAGGGTCCATGGGGAGCAGCAGGGTGGTCCCAGGGCAGGGAGCCAGCATCCAGGCTGACAGGGGCCCTGCCTGCGGGTGCTGCTCCCGGCCTTTGCTGGCCAGCTGGTACCCCAGGCCAGGTGATTCACTCGGTGACAGCTCCTCTCCTCCCCTAGGGTGAAGATGGCCCCCCTGGAAATGGCACGGAGGGCTTCCCCGGCTTCCCCGTAAGTTCCCAGGCACTGAGCCCACAGGGACATGCCCCAAGCTGCCTCCGGTACCCTCTTTGGTGGGCTGGGCAGTCTTGGGTGGGTGGGTTGGCCTAGGAATTCTATGATGGATTCTGCCATCTCAGGCCCTTCCAATGAGCCCCCCTCACGGCCTCCCCTCTCGATCAGAACCCAGCATCACTGCCATGCTTTTCTGTGGCAGGGCTATCCGGGCAACAGGGGTCCTCCTGGGATAAACGTGAGTACACCCTCAGCGTGGGTACACACATTTCACAGTCACAGGGACACACACATGTGAACATACATGCGCAGAGGGTCTCCCGAGCAAAGATACGGGGTACACAGGCACCCATGGCTGCCCCACTGTCTGTGGCCACGGCCCCAGCCGGCATCGGCTCCAGAGGAAGCCCAGGCTGGTGGCCAAGGCCCGGTGAGTCTCCCGTTGGGGTGCTGCCTGTGGGGGCCCCACACGGCCCTGGTGCATTATCCCCTGGTGGGCAGGGCAGGCCCAGCCCCAGAGGCTGCCCCAGGCTCCCTATTCCACTCTGGAACCCAGTTTCTCCAGCCAAGGAAATGTGTGTGGTGGGGAAAAGGAGGGGGAAGAGTGTGCAGAAAAGGAGGGGGAAGAGAATTGGGGAAGGGAGGGGGAAGAGAATTGGGGAAGGGAGGGGGAAGAGAGTGGGGGAAAGGAGGGGGGAAAGTGTGGGGGAAGGGAGGGGGAAGAGAGTGGGGGAAGGGAGGGGGAAGAGAGTGGGGGAAGGGAGGGAGAAGAGAATTGGGGAAGGGAGGGGGAAGAGTGTGGGGGAAGGGAGGGAGGAAGGAGGGGGAAGAGTGCCTGCCTTATCTTCTTTTTCCTTTTAAAATTTTGTCTTCCTAAAAAGAAAATAAAACCCTTGTTAACCCAAGTACTCTCCTGTCCCTGCAGGGCACGAAAGGCTACCCAGGCCTCAAGGGGGATGAGGGGGAAGCCGGGGACCCTGGAGATGATGTAAGTGTGGATGAGGGGCAGGGCCGGCCCCAAGGCAGCCTGGGCCACAGAGGGGTGGCCCTCGGAGGGCAGTGGATGGGCACGGCCGGGGGGCTGCATGGGCCCAGCTGCTGGACGCTCTGTGGACCGGGCCGGTGTGCAGATGCCCAGACGGTCCACGGTCTGTTGAGACAACACGGTTTTCTCCCAGAACAATGACATTGCACCCCGAGGAGTCAAAGGTGCGAAGGGGTACCGTGGCCCCGAGGGCCCCCAGGTCAGTGGTTGGGACCTGGGTGCTGGGGCTTGGGAACGCTGGAAGAGGTTGGGAGAGTGGGAGGCAGCAGGAGGGAATTTTGGGGAGCACGTCATCTGCGAGGTTAGGGCTTTGGCAGGTAGGAAGTGCCAGTGGTGCCAGGGTGGGGTGGTGGCCAGGGAGACAGTGGGTCCTCAGGATGGGGCCCCACCTTGGACGGCCGCCTAGACCACCAGTGTGCAAAGCGTCAGCTGCCCTCACGGAACCCTCACGGGGGGACGGGGTGGGCAGGGAGGGGACAGGGTGGGGGTGGATAGGGAGGGGACAGGGTGTGGACAGGCAGGGAGGGGACAGGGTGGGGGTGGGTAGGGAGGGGACAGGGTGGGGACGGGCAGGGAGGGGACAGGGTGGGGTTGGATAGAGAGGGGACAGGGTGGGGGCGGGCTTGTGCAGTGGGCACCTCACCCTCAGAGCTCCTCTACTCTGTTTCTTGGACAGGGGCCCCCAGGACATCCAGGACCACCTGGGCCAGATGTAAGTGGGGCTCTGTGAACGTCGCTGGGGGTGACCACTGCGGCCTCTGTCCCTTGGGGTGTGGGTCCGTGGAGGCTCCTGTAGACACTGCTTACAGGTGGGGGTGGGTTGTGGAAGAGCTGGTACCAGGTGGGGGGACACGTGACAGCCATGGGGGACCCGTGAGGACTGTGAGGGGACCCATGGTGGTGCTGCTTCGTGACCATGTCAGGGGTCCAGCCCAGTAGCATGTAGTGGGCAGAGCTGGGCACACCTGCAAAGAACTCCCTGCCTAAACCCATCCCTATGGGGGGCCCCAGGAGGGTGACCTGGAGAGCCAGCAGCCCCCACTGGGAGGGGCCCTCCATGGTCTCAATACCCTCATCTCTCCCTCCCCAGGAATGCGAGATTTTGGACATCATCATGAAAATGTGCTGTGAGTATCTCGACTTAGAGAAACTGTCCTTACGGAGAGTGGGACGCCAGCCCAGCGGCTCCACTCTTAGGGGGGGTCTCCGCTGCTTGGGAGCCCCGGGGTCTCAGCGCACAGCCGTGAAGGAGGAGGCTCCTCAGCCAGCCCCTACCGGCCTCTAAAGCCCCCCCAGACCCCCAGACCCCCAGTCCCCCAGTCCCTGGGTCCCGCACAGGCTGAGAGCCCTGGCATCAGGCGGGGAGTGTGGCCGGGGAGGTGGGGAGGCCACCCCGAGAGCAGGAGTCTTTCTGACGCACGGGACGCGGCCCTGACTGGTCTAACTGACTTTCTCTTCTCAGCTTGCTGTGGTGAGACCCATGCTCCAGCTCCTGAGAGAATGGTTCCCGGGGGCAGAGAGCGAGGCCTGGGTCCCACGCATGTCACAGGATAGCGAGTGTCACCCGGGTCCCCGCCCGTGGCTCCCTGCGCCTGCCCACCCCCTCTGGGGCCCGCTCCAAGACAGCAGGGTCCTGGGTGCTGGGCTGGGCCTCATAGTCTTTCGCCCTTAACCGAAATAACCAGGAATGGGTTGGGGGTCCCGGCTCCATCGTTCTGGCCCACAGGCCCCACGCCAATCCTGGCCAAGCGAGGCCAGCCCTGACCAGTCCTGACCAGCCCACCAGATGGAGGGGCCATGGGAGGGGTGGGCTCATCCTGGGCCAAGCCAGGCAGGACCCCACCATGTCAGGGGAGGACACGGCAGCCAAGGAGGGGCCAGAACGGTGGAGGGGCGGGGACTGGGCGGGGACTGGGCAGTGGAGGGAAGGGGCCTGGGCAGGGGGAGGGGAGAGGCCTGGACAGTGAAGGGGCGGGGCCTGGGCGGTGGGTGGGCAGGGCCTGGGCAGTGAAGGGGCGGGGCCTGGATGGTGGAGGGGAGGGGCGTGCTCTGCTGACACCACCCTCACCTGCAGAATGCAAGTGCGGCCCCATCGACCTCCTCTTCGTGCTGGACAGTTCAGAGAGCATCGGCCTGCAGAACTTCGAGATCGCCAAGGACTTCGTGGTCAAGGTCATTGACAGGCTGAGCCGGGACGAGCTGGTCAAGGTGAGGCGGCCTCTCCCTGTCCAGCTCCGCCATGCCCAGGTGCACCCGGGCCCTGCCATCCAGCCCTGCCAGGACCAGACCCCAGCCCCCCGAGCAGCTGCATCCATCCCTGTGACTTCCCTGCTCATGACGGGGATGCCAGGCAGGCGCCAGCCCATCCAGGCCCCCAGCTCCATCTGGCGAGGCTGGCACAGTCCACACAGGTGCCTCGGATGAGAGACGGCACCTCCTCCCCTCCTTGAAGGGCGGGTCCTGAGTCCTGGGGGTGGCTTCAGGGCGTATCCCTCATGGACGGAACCCGGGAGGGGGGTTCATCCACCAAGGAGGATTGGTTTGCAGGGGACCCAGGTCCCAGGGCCCATGCCACCCTCTGGGCACCCGCAGCCAACAGAGACACCCTGGGGCAGGCCCCGTGCTTACCCTGTGCCTGTTCCACAGTTCGAGCCAGGGCAGTCGTCCGCGGGTGTGGTGCAGTACAGCCACAGCCAGATGCAGGAGCACGTGAGCCTGCGCAGCCCTGGCATCCGGAACATGCAGGAACTCAAGGAGTGAGTGCCCCACACAGCCAGGAGCGTGGCGTCTCCAAGGGCTTTCCCATCCCTCACCCCTCACCCCAACCCCTGGCCCCATGGCGGGCCGGCCCATCCCTGGGGAGACTGGGCCCTGACCCCAATCTCAGGTGGGCTTGGCACCGCAGCAGGGCTAGGTCCCACAAGCCCCCCATGCCTTTCACTGTCCAGAGCCATCAAGAGCCTGCAGTGGATGGCAGGTGGCACCTTCACGGGAGAGGCGCTGCAGTACACACGGGACCAGCTGCTGCCACCCAGTCCTCACAGCCGCATTGCCCTGGTCATCACCGACGGGCGCTCTGACACCCAGAGGGACACCACGCCACTCAATGTGCTCTGCGGCCCTGGCATCCAGGTGGGGTGGCCACCACCAGGCTGCACCTGCCCCACCTCGGCCACCCTGCAAGCCAGGGTGGCCTTCTCCCCAGGGAGAGGAGGGCAGAGCGAGTGTGCCGCACCGACACTGTCTGTCCCCGTAGGTGGTCTCCGTGGGCATCAAGGATGTGTTTGACTTCGTCCCGGGCTCCGACCAGCTCAACGTCATTTCCTGCCAAGGCCTGGCACCCTCCCAGGGCCGGCCAGGCATCTCACTGGTGAAGGAGAACTACGCAGAGCTGCTGGAGGATGCCTTCCTGAAGAATGTCACGGCCCAGATCTGCATAGGTGTGCACAGGATGCCCAGGACAGGAGCAGCGAGCTCTGTCCCACACAGAGGCCTCCCCACAGCTCCCTGTGACCTCCAGGGCATGGGCACACCTGTGCTTGGCCGCCAAGGTCCTGGGACATCTTGTGGGGTTACAGGTGGGGCAGTGGGCTCATGCTACACGGCTTTTCTCTTTTGCAGACAAGAAGTGTCCAGATTATACCTGTCCTAGTGAGTACCTCAGTGGCCAGGGTGCATGGGGAGGAGGATGCATGGGGAGGAGGGTGCCATGGCTGGGTTGGGGGCTCTGGGAGGAGGGGGCTCTGGGAGGAGAGGCCTTGCAGGGGGCCCCGATAAGAGGAAGCTCTGGAAGGAGGGAGCCCCAGCAGGAGGGGGCTCCAGAAGGAGGGTTCTCCTGAGGAAGGGGGCCTGGGAGGAGGGGCCCTAGGGAGGAGAGTGAGTGAGCACCACATGTGGTGCCCTCTGGGGAGCTTGGACTCCCTTCGGCCGGCCGGCCCCCCACGGCTGCATCCCGGCCTCATGCTAATGCTGCCCGCCCTGCCCTCAGTCACATTCTCCTCCCCGGCTGACATCACCATCCTGCTGGACGGCTCGGCCAGCGTGGGCAGCCACAACTTTGACACCACCAAGCACTTCGCCAAGCGGCTGGCCGAACGCTTCCTCGAGGCGGGCAGGACGGACCCGGACCACAACGTGCGGGTGGCAGTGGTGCAGTACAGCGGCACGGGCCAGCAGCGGCCGGAGCGGGCGTCACTGCAGTTCCTGCAGAACTACACGGCCCTGGCCAGCAGCATCGACGCCATGGACTTCTTCAACGATGCCACCGACGTCAACGACGCCCTGGCCTACGTGACCCGCTTCTACCGCGAGGCTTCATCTGGCACTGCCAAGAAGAGGCTGCTGCTCTTCTCAGACGGCAATTCGCAGGGCGCCACGCCTGCAGCCATCGAGAAGGCAGTGCAGGAGGCCCAGCAGGCAGGCGTGGAGATCTTCGTGGTGGTTGTGGGCAGCCAGGTGAACGAGCCCCACATCCGCGTCCTGGTCAGCGGCAAGACGGCCGAGTACAACGTAGCCTACGGCGAGCGCCACCTGTTCCGGGTCCCCAACTACCAGGCCCTGCTCCGTGGCGTCTTCCACCAGACGGTCTCCAGGAAGGTGGCGCTGGGCTAGCCCGCCCGCAGGCCAGCCCAGACCCTGTCCTCCCACCCTCCCACCCATCCTTAAACAGTGAAATGGGAGGCGAATTTTCCCCACCCGCCTGATTCACTAGATTTGTTTGGAAGGAACAGCTTGGAAAGCCAGGATGCAGCGTGCCCGCTTGGCGCAGCGCCCTACGAGTCTCAGCCCTGCGCTGGCGTCTGCCTGGGCTCCTCGCCCCGCTCTCCCGCCCTCCCTGCCTTCTGCCCACCCGCTCCTTCCTGACGCATCTGTGCTGCCTCCCACCTGCCTGAGCCATACCCGCCTCCCCCTCCTCTGTCCCCATTGCTGGCTTTTCCCACCAACCCGGCAGAATTCCTCACCTGACATTTAATTTACATGTAAACTCAAAGCAGGCTCCTCCTGTCAGCTGATGGCAGCACTGGACTCTGTCTCGACCCCCAAGGTCGGGGGCTGTTGTAGACACAGATCTCGGCCACTCAGCCCTGTCTCCTGAGGGTCCTGTGGGACCAGCGTGGACCTCAGCCCACAGCCCTGGGGGCCGCTGCTGACCAGCACTGACCCCGACTCAGAGCGCTCGCAGGGGCGGTGGCTGCACTCAAGACCCTCGAGATTAAAGGTGCTAACCCCGTCTGCTCCTGCCTCCCGCAGAGACCGGGGCCGGGGCTGGACTGAGAACCCCATGGTGCCACAGAGGCCCGTGTCTTCCTAGAAACAACGCAAACCTCTCCTCACAATAGCAATGTGTTCGATGTTTTCTCCGAGGCCCTCTTTCTACGTTCGTGTTATTTTTGCTCCTTCTGTGTTTTCTCTGAACCGTATCCACGTCAACGACTTTTCCAAATAAAGGTTTTCACTCTTCTCCCTGGGGTTCCCCACGAGGTAAAGTCCCACTGTGTGCACCAATGGAGCAATCATAGGAGGTCAGGGCATGCATGCCCACCCCCATCACCACCCATCCCAGGCCCCGTGCCCACCTTCATCATCACCCATCCCAGGCCACGTGCCCACCCCCATCAGCACCCATCCCAGGCCACGTGCCCACCCCCATCACCACCCATCCCAGGCCACGTGCCCACCCCCATCACCACCCATCCCAGGCCCCGTGCCCACCCCCATCACCACCCATCCCAGGCCACGTGCCCACCCCCATCACCACCCATCCCAGGCCACGTGCCCACCCCCATCACCACCCATCCCAGGCCACGTGCCCACCCCCATCACCACCCATCCCCGGCCACGTGCCCACCTTCATCACCACCCATCCCAGGCCCCATGCCCACCTTCATCACCACCCATCCCAGGCCCCATGCCCACCCTCATCACCACCCATCCCAGGCCCCATGCCCACCCTCATCACCACCCATCCCAGGCCCCGTGCCCACCCCCATCACCACCCATCCCAGGCCACGTGCCCACCCCCATCACCACCCATCCCAGGCCACGTGCCCACCCTCATCACCACCCATCCCAGGCCACGTGCCCACCCTCATCACCACCCATCCCCAGCCCCGTGCCCACCCTCATCACCACCCATCCCAGGCCACGTGCCCACCCCCATCACCACCCATCCCAGGCCACGTGCCCACCTTTATCACCACCAGTCACAGGCCACGTGCCCACCCTCATCACCACCCATCCCAGGCCACGTGCCCACCCCCATCACCACCCGTCCCAGGCCACGTGCCCACCTTTATCACCACCAGTCACAGGCCACATGCCCACCCCCATCACCACCCATCCCAGGCCACGTGCCCACCCCCATCACCACCCATCCCAGGCCACGTGCCCACCTTCATCACCACCCATCACGGGCCACATGCCCACCCCTATCACCACCCATCCCAGGCCAAAATCAGGGCTGCCCTTGGCTAGAGCTGTCCATTCACACCCCTTATCTGCTTCTGCATCAGTGACATGGAGACCACGCAGTGTCTGTGGACAGAGAGGAGCTGGGGCCAACACCCTGGGCTGAGGGGTCAGGAGCAGATCAGGCCTTAGTGGGCTGGGACCAGCCACATTCAACAAGGTCAACCACAAAGGCCAACCTCAGGTTCTAGGCTTGGTACTGAAATACCCCAGGGAGTTGGGACCCTGCAGGGCCCATAGGAAGATGTCCTGGGAGGCTCCACATTTGGGGCAGAGCAGGGGGATGGCAGAGGGTTGAAGGCAGAGGGCAGAGGTGGCGACAGCTCATCCTCAAAAGAAAGAAGTTCATAGCCCATGAATTCCAGAACCCCAGGTGTCCAGCTATTCCTTAGGCCACTGGGGGGCTATGACGATGATGGGTCAGAGTGCTGGGCTGGAGGAGGGCGGCAGAGACTGGCAGCAGGGCGAGAGTGGGGCCTCCCAAAGTCCACCCGTGGCTCCGAGGCACTGAGACCTCACCCTCACGTGGACGGACCCCAGCGAGCCCCCCAGGTGCTGCAAGCAAGGACCTGCCTCACTGGACACTTCACACTCTGTGGCCACCAGAGCTGCAGGAAAATGCTGGGGCCCTTTCGGTTTCAGGTGGAGAACGGAAGGAGAGAGGGGCCCGGGGCAGATGCAGTGAGGCAGTGGCCCAGCCCCTCCTGGCTGCCCTGTGGGCTTCCTCTGCAGCCTCAGCCCTGGCGACAAGGACTGGGCTTGGCCGGTGGGACGTTCCCTCACGGCGCCAGGGACCACGCTCAGGCTGCCCCACAAGCCCCCGCAGAGGCTTCCTCTGGCCGCAGCCCCCACAGGGCCAGGCCCAGGCCTGCTCTTCACCACCCCAGTTTCTGAATGCAGCCAGGATACCCTGAGCTGGCCCTTGCCCTTGCCCTCGACCCGGCTTCCCCCACCGTCAGCCAGGTGAATGATTCCATGGCACCTACCTGAGAGTGTTGTGGCCAGGCCCAGGCCCCTGGTGCCCATGTGCCCCATGGCCCATGCCTGGTGGATGCTGGGAGGAGGCCAGGGAGGTTGGAGGGGAGTGGCCTGGACCGAAGGGGGCCCAGGGGTGCTGGTAAGAGGGTCTCTCCCAAGCACTTTCTATGGGGCCCCTTCCCCTCCATCTTCCCTGCACAGACCTCTCCGGGTCACCCCTGGGCTGCACGCTGAGTGCAAGGGGCCCTTGTGGTGGGGCCCCTGCTCCCAGGTCCCCTGGGCCTCACCTCCTCCTCACCTGCAGGTGTTCCCATCCTCCAATGCCTGGGGTCACCAGGGACTCCAGGTAGGAAGGGTTGTAGGAGTCACCAAGGCCCCGGCCGCCACACAGACCCCCACAGGGGCTGGGGAAGCTCCTGGCCTCAAACTGCGGGGGGCCGGGTTCCTGTGTGGGGCTGACACGAAGGTCCCAGCCTCTCATTTTGCAGAAACTGAGGCACAGGAGAGACATACTCCCATGGCCAGTCAGCGTGGCCCCTGCACGCCCCTCGGACTGACACTTAGCCAGGCCCCGGAGACCCCCCCCACTACCCAGCCTCAGCCACTGGGGCCCCTGCTCCCAGGCCCCCAGACACCATGTGCACCTCCTGCCTCAGACCTGGAGGCCTGCCGGCCCCAAATAATCAGACAATTGAACAAGAAAAGTGCCTTTTCCAGGCTGGCAGGACTCTGGGCAGGCCCCGCAGCAGCCCCCTGCCCTGTCACAGCCACCCCTGCCTCCCAGGCACCGAGACCCCACCCTCAGTCCCAGCCCGGGGTCATCACCACGCACCCCACATGTCGGGATGGCGATGCTGGCTGAGCCCCTGCATCCCCGCAAGAACCCCTCAGGGGCCCTCTGGCCTCTCTTCCCACTCCTCCCGGGAGCTGAGGCCCTGACACTCTGGGCTTCAGGGTCAGGAGCAAATCAGGCCCAGATGGGCTGGAGCTGGCCAGATACAATGAGGTCAACCCAAGAGGACCAGCCCAAGGCTCTGCATTCGGCACTAAGGCACCTTCACCAAGGAGCCTCAGGGCTGCTGTGTCCAGCGTGTGCCCAAGGCCCTCCTCCTGAAGGGAGGTGAGAAACCACAAGTGTGAGTGTCCCTGTGCATTCATCCGTCCTCACACTGCTCTAAAGAACTGCTCAAGACTGGGCTATTTACAAAGAAAAGAGATCTCATTGACACAGTCCCACATGGCTGGGGAGGCCTCAGGAAACTTACGATCACGGTGGAAGGGGCAGCAAACTCGTCCTTCTTCACACAGCGGCAGGTGAGAGGGAAGTGTGAAGGAGGAGCTTCCAAATGCTCATAAAGCCGGCAGATCACAGGTGAAGTCACTCACCATCACAAGAACAGCATGGGGAGGCCACCCCGGGCTCCAGCCACCTCCGTCCCGCAGCAGGAGGGGATTACAGTTTGAGATGAGATGTGGGTGGGGACACAGAGCCAAACTGCATCCCCTGCTTCAAGAAGGGGAGTGCCTCGACCGCTGAAGTATCCTCCAAGCCAGCGGCCATGCGCACTTCTCACCTGTGGCCTCCCAGGTCAGGAGGAGACGCTAGAACCCTCTCCTTTGTTCTATGGAGCTCAACTGTGAAAAAATCGTCGGGAAAGAACCCTTGGCCCATCAGGCCCACACCTGTTCCCAGTTTAGAAAAGCGATGTGATGCTTCAGATCAACACAAGGAGTCCCCTGATAGGAGGGCAAAGCCCGTCACCCCGATACTGTGAGTGGTCAGAGGCCCAGGTGGCCCCATGCTGTCCACAGCATGGCTCCCTGACTCCTAGCTCAGAGCAAGCTCCTGCCCCTTGCTGGCCCCTCCTGTCCCGGTACAGGAGGAGCTGGGACCCACTGGCCTCAAGAAGGCAGGGGGTTGACAGGAGAGGCAGAACCCTGGGAGCTCAGCCCTCTCAGGAGGGTCCTCCCTTGCACCCACCCATCCTGATCCAGAGCCACGGGGGCAGTGCTGGCCCAGGCTCTCTCCTTGCGAGCCTCTGGCTGCAGTTCCCTCCCAGGAAGGGTCCTCAAGGGAAAAGTGACCCAGGGGGTCTGAGGGGGTATTGAGACCTAGCAGACTGTGGGGGTCCCAGGTGTCTCCCCAGCCCACCTCCCAGCCCCCAACAGCTCCCCTGTGAGGCCACCCTAAAAGCTACCCTAGATCCAGTGGCCTTGGCTGGGGACATACAGGGCCTATTCACCCACCTCAGGACCTCTATGGCTGAGTGCCATCCCAACCACCATCCATTTCGGGGGGCTATGTGGACCGAGGTTTGGGGCCACTTTCCTTTCTCTTTCTGCCGCTGCACTTGGCGGCCATGATGGCCCAACTCGAGGTCCACTCTCCTCCGCACTGATGAAGAATGATGCCAGCCGTGGCTCTGCTGTGACCCCTTCCTGGACAGCACCAGTGCCGGGGCCCTTGTGAGCCCTTCCCGGACAGTCCTCACTGTCTTCGTTTCTGTGTTGTGTCTCCTTGTCGTGTTTCACTTTTAATCTCCTGAGATGTGTTGTCTCCAGTACATGTTTGCAGACAGCAGTACTCGTGTTTCCAAACCCGATCCGGTCATCCTTGCTCTTTATGGAAAAGTTAAACACATTCATATTTCAGACAACTGACATTTGGCCTTTTCAACGCAGTTTTTATGCTATGACTATGGAAGCGTGGAGGGGTTGTTTCCATTCCATCTGAGGATGGCTGGCCCTAGGGAGACCTCCGGGTTGGTGCGATGACCGAGCAGAGGTGTCCTACCACCCTCCACGCTGGCTGGTCCGGCAGCACTCTCTGCAGAGATGTTTCTAGACAGTGGCACTGCCCACACAGGAGGCAGACCACACCCCTCTCTTTCCCACAGCTCCAGGTGGTGATGCCTCAGGCCCCGGAGCACATTTTGGGAACCACATCTCAAGTGAAGGTGAACGTTCCCTCAGGGACCTGAGTTAAACTGTGAGAGACACCCCTACACACCCCCG